GCACACACGGCTGTGCCCCGCGTGTCCGTGTGTGCACACACGGCTGTGCCCTGCCCCGGGGCGCGGTGCCGGGCGGTGCCGGGGCACAGGGCTCAGGGAGGTGGGTGCTCACCCCTGCCGGAGCCGCCGGCGGACACGGCGTGGCGGCGCTGGTAGAAGAGGATGTAGGCGCTGCGGGTGCTCACCTCCGCCTCCCGCACCCCCTCCACGCGGCTGTCGTCGTAGCTGTACCACCGCCCGTCCAGGGCGTTGCAGCAGTAGGCTGGGGGTGAGGGGGGGCACGGGGTGTGGGGGGGATGTGGCTCTGCCCTGGGACCCCCCCCCAGCTCCAGGGTGCAGTGGGGAGCAGGAGCAGAGACACGGTGGGGGAGCAGGACGCGGCTGAGGTGCCTGCCCTGGGGTGGCTGCAATGCCATCCTCTATGTCCTCTGCACCCCAGCTCCCCTCTGCCTTGCCCCATGGCCCCCAAACCCCATGGTGTGGTTCATGGCCTACCCTCCTGTGATGTTCCCCAAACCCCATGCAGTGCCCCCCACAACGTTTTGCCACGCCCAAGGTACACCCTTCTCCCGTACCCCCAGCCTCATGCTGTACCCCATGGTACAACCCCCACATTGCCCCCAAACCCCACTCCATGCCCCACACCACAACCCTGCAGTGCCCCCAAACCCCATTCCATGGCACCAAACCCCACACCACAACCCTGCAGTGCCCCCAAACCCCATTCCATGGCACCAAACCCCACACCACAACCCTGCAGGGCACCCCCAGCCCCCTGCCCTTCCCCACGGCACCCCCAGCCATGCCCCTAAACCCCATACCGTGCTCCACAGCACGCTCTTTGAGGCGCCCCCAAACCCCACACTTTGCCCAGCAGTTTGCCCCCCACCACCATGCCCACCCCGTGGCCCCCCCGGCAGTGCCCCCGCTCACTCACCGGTGTAGTGCCCGCCCTGCATGCTGCCGTGGTGGTTGCAGACAGCGTACAGGTCGTAGAGGTAGTCTCGGGGGCAGCCCGGGGGCAGGCGCAGGGGGGGCTGCCAGGGCGCCCAGCGCCTCAAGAGCTGCCCCCCGGGCTGGCCCCGCTGTGCCACATGAGGGGCCATGTCGAGCCCCCGCAGGGGGAACCTCACCAGCGTGGTGAGTTTGTGCCGGTGCTCGGCGACCTGGCGGAAGCGCTTGAGGTGGATGATGAGGATGTCGGGCAACGTCCAGAGGCTCAGCTTCACCGTGCCCTGCTGGGGCACCTTGCAGTGCGGGCAGCGCCAGGCATCATCCGGGGCCAGCTGGGGACACCACGGCACCGTCCTCAACACCCCCCTGCCACCTCCAGCGGCATCTTACACCCCGACAGCCGCCGCGCCACGGGCAGGGCTTGGTCCCGGTGGTGGCTCTGGCAGGCGTGGGCAGGGAGCAGGTGCCCACACGGGTGTGGGGTGCCCCGTACCTGCTCCTCCTTGGTGTAGAGCTGGAAGCACTCGTCCAGCGTGCAGCTGTGCTGCTGCCGGTGTGCCTGCTGCTGCAGCCGCACGCTCTCAGCGTCCTGCACCACCTCCTCCTGGATGTTGCCGAAAAGGCTGGGGGGCGGGGGGGACACGATTCCGGTCAGGGAGGGTGGTCTGAGTGTTGGGGTGTCCCCCCCACCCTGGGGGCAAGGGACTCACCGCTCTTTGGTGCTCATGTCCCACTCCACTGTCAGTTTCACGTGGGGGGGGCCACCTGCCCCGCTCAGCTGCAGGGCTCTGGGGGGGAGGACGACATGAGATGCCCCCCCAGAACCCCCTGTCCCTGTGGGGCCACCTCCTTGCCCGCTTGTGGTGGCAGGCAGGGACAGCCACCACCTCCCTGTGCACCACCCACAGCGGGGACACTGCGCTGGGGACGCGGTGCTGGGGGAGCAGGGTGACCACCACTGTGGCTACCCGTGGTGGCACCACTGGCCATCCATGGTGACACTGGAAAGCCACACGGACACCTTTGGCCGCCCATGGTGACAACACCGCCACACACAGGGACACCATGGCCACCCACAGGAACACTGCACCCATCCATGGTGTTGCCGCTGGCCACCCCCAGGGAGTGAGGGGACATCCTGGGGACAATCCCGTCGCTGCAGTGCCCTTACCTGTCAATGGCAGGGTGGCAGAGAGGGCGGGGGTCCTGCGGGGACAGGTAGATGCAGGGGACCGAGCCCCCAGCCAGGCGGATGCGGAAAAGGGCTCCTGTTCCCTGAGAGGGGAGAGGGGGCTATGGGGCTGCGGGGGGACAGAAGCCCCACGGCCCTACAGCAGCACCGGCAGGAGCCAGGCTCTGTGACATGGGACACAGAAATGCTCAAAAAAAATGGATTTCTTTGGTCCTCAGTGGTGGGTTGGCAGGGGACATCTGTGGGGCCAGGGATGTGGGGCTGGAGGATGATCTGCCCCACTGGCTGTGGGGTAGCTGGGGGGCAAAGGGGCAGCACGGAGACACCAGAGCCCATGGGATGGTGGCACCTGGGTGCTGGGGAGTGCAGCTGGGCTGGGGTGGCTTTGCTGCGGGAGCTGGGCAGCACTGTGGCCACACACAGTGATGCTATAGCCACCCATGGTGACACCACTGGCCACCTGCAGTGACAATGAGACAATCCCCAGGGTCACCTCAGACACCCACAGGGACACTGTGGTCACCCATAGTGACACCACTGGCTGCCTGCGGTGCAAATATGACCACCCACATGGACAGCAGGGCCACCCATAGTGACCACCAGTGTTAATGGCACAACCACTCCAGGGCCACCACAACCAACCCTGGTGACACTATTGGTCAACCCTGGTGACCCTTCAGCCAAGCACAGCTCTACCATGGCCACCGAGGGTGTCACCACAGACAGTGACGGTGCTGCTATTGCCACCCACAACTCCACCACGGCCACTCATGGAGACACCATGGCTACCCACAACTCCACCACGGTCACCCATGGAGACACCATGGCTACCCACAACTCCGCCATGGCCACCTACGGAGACACCACAGCCACATGTGGCTCCATCCCTGATGTCACCACTGTAGCCGGTGCCAGCAGCCCCAGGAGGGCACAGGGTGTCCCCCCTCATGGCTCACCTGTGCCCGCACCTCTCCCCGCAGCAGCGCCCGCAGCTGGGCCAGGATGCTCTGCTGGAGCTGCTCCCAGGAGATGCCCCGCTCCTCCCTCAGCACCAAAGGCGGCCCGAACCTGAGGACAGGCAGTGGGGGACACCGGGCTGAGGGGCACAGGCGGCTCAGGAGGGACACCTCGCACCCCATCCTGCAGCGGGAGGGCAGGGCGGGGCCACGGGCAGGGGGCAGGTGACAGTACCTGGCAAGCTGGGGGCCGGCGCCCGCCGTGTTGCAGAGCAGCAGCAGGATGCGGCCGCCCTGCCCGCGGTGCAGGCAGTCGGAGGAGCGGGCAGCAGCGGGCGGCAGGCGCGGCCCCTCCGGCCGGGCCACCCCAGGGGACGCGGGCAGGCTGCGGGGGCACCCTGAGGAGGGCAAGGGCATGGAGGGGCTCTCGTTAGTTAGTTAATTACTTAATTGGTGCGATGCGATGCCCGTAGTAGGTCCCTGCCTGTGCTCCCCTGCCTGCAGTGCTGCCTACACCCTGCACTTCCCACCAATCACAGCCTGGGGGGCTTGTCCTCCCACCAATCATAGTAGAGCATGCCTGCCTCCCACCAATCATGGGCGGGGGAGAGAAACTACCACCAATCACAGCACAGCACACCCGTGTCCAACCAATCATGGGATAGGGGCAAACGAGGCTCTCATCCAATCACAGTAGACAGGACACAGCTCCCACCAATCAGACCATGAGTGGCAAGGCTCCCACCAATCACAGCAGAGAGGACACAGCCCCCACCAATCACAGCTAAAGGGATCCGTTTCCAGCCAATCCCAGCAGAGATTTCCAACCAATCCCATCTCCCCTAACCCCAGTGGAGCGCAGCTGCCTCTGACCAATCCCAGCAGAGAGGATCCACCTCCCCACCAATCCCAGCAGAGAGGATCCACCTCCCCACCAATCCCAGAAGAGGGGATCCACCTCCCCACCAATTGCAGGGGTGCTCCTGCCCCCCTCCCAGCCCAGCTCCAATCCCAGAGTGGCACAAGCCACTCCCAACCAATCAGAGCAGTGCAGGCCTGCAGCCAGCAGCCAATCAGGGCACGGGGGCGGTACCTGTGCGGCGGGCAGGGGGCGGCTGGAAGGCGTAGAGAGGAGCCCCCTCTCCAGCAGCTCCCAGCTCCTCCTTGTCCCCCAGCGAGCGCAGGAAGCCCCGCGGGGACACCTCGGCCAGGATCACCTGTGGGATGGCACCCAGCACCCTCAGCATCCCTGAGAGCGGGGTGTCCCCCCACCCTGTGTGTCCCCCCCCCGTTACCTGCTCTGGGGGGATGCACCCCTCCCGTGCCACCATCTCCCGCAGGTCAGCCACGGTGCCCAGCAGTGGCACTGCCAGTCCCACCCGCACGAAGCGCCAGCGCTCGCACTGCAGCACCAGGGTGACGTTGAGAGCCCTGGGGACACCGCGGGGACACACTGACACACCTCAGCCATGGGACACTGCATGCTGAAACCTGACACTGCTCACAACGACCACTTTGGCCACAACCCCCTGCAGTACCATAGGATGGGGACAGGTGGGGGGACAGGGCCAGGCAGAAAGGGACCTGGGGGTACTGATAGGAAGCTGAACCAGAGCCAGGGGTGCCCAGGTGGCCAAGAAGGCCAATGGATCCTGGCTTAGATCAGGAACACTGTGGCAGCAGGAGCAGGGCAGGAATTCTGCCCCTGGACTGGGCACTGCTGAGGCCTCACCTCAAGTGCTGTGTCCAGCTCTGGGCCCTCAGTTCAGGAAGGACATTGAGGGGCTGGAGCAGGTCCAGAGAAGGGCAACGAGGCTGAGGAAGGGTCTGGAGCACAAGTGCTGTGAGGAGCAGCTGAGGGAGCTGGGGGGGCTCAGCCTGGACAGGAGGAGGCTCAGGGGAGACCTTCTCACTCTCTGCAACTCCCTGACAGGAGGGGGGAGCCGGGGGGGGTCGGGCTCTGCTGCCAGGAACCAGCAGTAGGACAAGAGGGCACAGCCTTGAGCTGCACCAGGGCAGGTTTAGGTTGGACACTGGGAAGTTCTTCCCAGAGAGAGGGATCAGCCCTTGGAATGGGCTGCCCAGGGAGGGGGTGCAGTCACCGTCCCTGGAGGTGTTTGAGCAGAGCCTGGATGTGGCATCAGTGCCATGGTCTGGGTGACAAGGTGGGGTTGGGTCATGGGTTGGACTGGATGATCTCAGAGGTCTTTTCCAACCCGGCTCATTCTGTGATTCTTTGATTCTGTGATTCTGTGACCCACCCACACAGCAGCTCCAGCTCTGGGCTGGCAAACACCCCATGGACACAGCTCCTGCAGTGTGTTGCTGTCATCCATCCCCAGTGCTGCCCCACAATCCCACATCAATTATTTCCCCCAAAGCACGTAAATGACTCAGGTTGGAGCTGACACCCTGCTGGGTGCTGGATGTGCCTCTGGTTTTACCACGACGGGGGAGGGGGGGTGGGGCTCACCTGGTCTGGCGCAGGGGGATGGGCAGGGAGATGCACAGGAAGGGGTCAAAGGTGTTGCTCTGCTTCAGGCAGTGAGGGCACGTCAGGGAGGACCTGTGAAACATGGATGGGGAGCATCACCAGACTCTGCCCCCCCAGAGTCCCCACCCTGGGGCTGCAGCGCCCTGTCACTGCTTCTGCACCCTGGGTACCACATCCCACAGAGCTCGGGTGGTCCCAGCATCACACTGGATTGGCATGAACCTCCTGCCAGGGTGAGGCACCACAGCCTGTACCTGCCTGCCCAACCCCACGGGCTGCTCACTCTGAAACCTAACAAGGGCATCCACAGTAACTGGTGCTAGAGAAGTTAGAGAGAAATGCCAGGGCTGGGGGATCTCCCACTCTCATGTATGTAGCCCCAAAATTCCCCCACATCCTGCTCCCTCTCCCAAGGGCTGGCAGAGTCCAGGGTGGCTTCTGGCTCCTGGGGGCTTTGAGTTGACCCCAGATGGCCTGGGTTAAGCAGGGACAATGCCTTGGGGTGCTGGGAGGGAACAGGAGCCCTGCTGATAAGCAGGGCTGTGGCTGGGCTGCAGGAAGGAGCAGTGATGGGCAGCAGAAGGACATCTGCCTGTGACAAGCCCCATGGTGTCACCACAGCCCTGGGACCACCAGCTCTGCTCACCCAGGCCCTGCCTGGAACAACCACCAGCTCCAGGGGAGCCCTGGGGACAGTGAGAACTCATCTGCTCTGCTGGGGGGTCACAGGGCCACTGTGGGGGAGCAGGTCCCCCTGCCAGAAGGGACCATCCCATCTCCCACTGGAGACTGGCTTAAGTGAACCTTTAATGCCAACCGTCACCTTACCACCGATTTCTTTTTAATTCTGTTTTTTTATTACCTTTTTCTTATTCTCCTGCCTTTATATTCAACAAAAAGGGGGAAATAAATTAGAAACCCAAATTAAAATCCTGAATGCTTGTTATTTGTCACCTTGAAGAGCCACTGAGCTCCCCGGGAAGCAGCCACACAAATTAATAAATCCCTTTGCACACAGACGGCTCTGGCACAGGGAAGGGTGGATAATTAAAGTGCCTTTTTTTCATATATAGGCCAAGGGATTAATGGAGAGAGGAGGAAGGGCTTGTGATGCCAGATGCATCCCCTCATGCCTGCACTGCCATGGCTTGGGTACAGGGTGGCCAGATGCTGGCCCTCCAAGCATCCTGTGAGTCTCAGATGAACATGTGGGATGACCCATGCAAGGACACCGTTATGCTGGACTGCTGGGACAGGCTTGGGAAAACCCTAATCCTGACCCCTGTGACAGAACCACAGAATGGTTTGGGTTGTGAGGGACCTTCAAAGACCATTCCATCTGCCCCCCCTGCAGGGACACCTTTCACTAGACCACGTTGCTCCAAGCCCTGTCCAACCTGGCCTTGGACACTTTCTGCCCATGGGAGAAGCAGCTCTGGTGCCTGGGCTGGGTGGGATGATGGGATGGATGGATGGATGGATGGATGGATGGATGGATGGATGGATGGAACACCTCCTTGTCTCATCTTTTCCCTCACAGGGCTCACAGGAGGGTGAAGCCCCAGTGGGGCAGGATCCAGCCCTCCACTCACCTGTACTGTGCCTGGAAGTGGCTCTGCACGAAGCTCTGCCCCCGGGGGTGCTGGGCAGCTGGCGGGGACCTGCTGGCACTGCCACTGTCCTTGCCAGGCTGGGGGGACAAGAGACAAGTGGGTGAGTGAGGTGCCAGGGTGACCCCCCACCCTTCAGGCTCTGGGGACATGTCCTAGTGAACCAAGGCCAGTTTTGGTGTCCCCATGGCACCAGGAAGGGCTGGAGGTGATGCCAAAGTGACCCTGCCACCTGCCTGCCTGGCACTGCTGTGCCTTCCAGGCTGCCTGTCCACCTTCTCCTGGGGAATCTTTGGGGTACATCCCATCCACCAGGAGCGCAGGGCACAAAGGGTTAATGAAAGGTCTGTAGTGGTGGACCCCCAAGGGCCGCCCAAAGCAGCCCCAGTGTCCAGAGCTCCTGGACACTGAAGAACTGGAGCTGGGATTGCATTCAAGCCCAGCTGAAAAACTCCGGGAGGGAAATCCTGGGTGAGCCATAGCAGCATCCCAGCAGGGGAAAAACTCAGGGGTGGGGGAAAGCTGGTCCCCTGTAACATCCCTCCCACGGAGCCCCAGTGCCCACGGGCACACCCCCGGGCAGCAGGGAGGTGCCCACCCCACCCAGCAAATGTGCCCATGGGTACTGGGAGCTGGGGCACGGGGGGTGAGGTGGTGGGATGCTGCAGCACGTCCCTGTGTCTGTGTTCATGTCCGTGTGAGTCTCCATGAGAGATGAGCTCCTGGAGCAGGTGTGCACATTCCTGGGCACGCACCCACCCGGGGAGGGGGGGGACACGGCTGGGTGCCAATTAACTACAGGCAAACCCCCAGACCAGGAGAACTCAGCAAAGGCCAGGCTGGCATGATGCCCTCCCGGGCAGGTGGGCTGGCGTGGGCTGCAGGCACCCAGAAACCAGCCCTGCTGCTGCTGCTGCATGTTTCCCCAGCAGCAAGCCCAGGCACAGCACCCAGCATGGCACCTGCCACATCAAGCCCAGGCACAGCACCCACCACACTGAGCCCAGGCAAGGATCCTGGCACAGCACCCACCACGCTGAGCCCAGGTAAAGATCCTGGCACAGCACCCACCACGCTGAGCCCAGGCAAAGATCCTGGCACAGCACCCACCACGCTGAGCCCAGGCAAAGATCCTGGCACAGCACCCATCACCCTGACCCTGCCTCAGCACGGGGCTCTCGTGGGTCCATGTGGGTGCAGGTGGTAGGCACAGTGCCCCTCTGACAGCTGAGATGTGCCCCAGGGACACCAAGAAGAGCAGAGTCTTCTGCTCCACTCCATAGGGAATAAGGACACTGGGATGTGACTGTGTTACACAGCCAAACCTGCCTGGGTAGGTGACACCCCCTGCCTGCCCCCTGCCCTGCCAACCACCAGGAGCCCCACGTCAAGGACAGGAGCCACTGACTTCACCCCCAGAGCCCAGTGACAGAAGAGATGCTGCAGAAAGGAGTGTTGGTGGCTTGGGAAGGGACTGGGCTGTTTTGGGGTAAGACAGTGAGTTTCTGGTGTCGCAATGAGAAGGATTGAAAATCAATGAGGTATTTGGCCAGGAAGTGGATTTTCCTCATGCCATCTGCTGGCACCAGGTCCTGCTGAGCCTGACGTGTCCTTAAGATCTGTGCAGGGCTGGGGTCCATCTGGTGTGGATGAGAGTGGGCCTAGATCATGTCTGTGCCCTACACGGCCCCAGAACCCCCAAAACCCAAGGAGACACCTCCTCCTCCAGCCCTCCCAGCAGCCAAGTCTTGGTCTCCACCACAGTGGCCCCACAGCCCACTGGGTGCCACAGTACACACCTCATGGGCCAGGAGGGTATTCCCGACCCTCCAGCCTGCCCAGCTCTGATCTCCTCACTTTCTGCCCAATAGCTGAGCTCCCCAGTCCCTGAGCCTCAGGATGGGCTTGACCAGGAGCAAATTGTCTCCCCATCCCCATCCGTGGGTATGTGCACACACCCTCCTCCTCCCCAACACTAGGACAGGCACGTGTGTGCCCACCTCCATCCAGACACTTCCAAGCCATTTATCCAGGCTCCCACCACCCCCGTTGGGCAACCCCTCCCCAAGGACACAGGCGTGCAGGTGCCACTCAGGTGGCATCCCCCGAGACTGGGGAACGCCAAACAAAACCATGGATGCTGAAGGACACACAAAGGGCCCTGTCCCCAGAGCCAGGCAGGTGCCCCGGGCATTGCATGGGCAGCTGAGGGCACTGCTGGTGTCACACCACAGCGTGTGCTCACATTTAACGTGAGCAACAGGAGCTGCCAGGCTCTCCTAGAGAGCCTGGGGTATCCAAACAACTCACAGGAAAGGTGGCAGGGCTGAGGACAGCCCAGCTCAGTGCAGGGATGGCTGCAGGACCCTGGCCAAGCAGGGCTGGGAGCCCCAGCCAGAGGCTCTAGAGATGGGCACTGCAGCTGAGCCCTCCCCTGTGGGACAGAGCTGTGCCCACGCCAGGCTGGAGGCTGGGCAGGGGCTGCCCATGGGGACCCTGACCTGCATCCTTGGGCACAGCCATGACACCCCAAGCAGGAGGAAGCTGGTCCCAGGTTCCCTGTGCCCAAGATGGGCATCACCCCCAAAGTGGGGACAGCACATTGTGGAGCTGGGAGTCACCCCCAGAGTGGGGACAGCACTCTGCTGAGCTGAGCTGACGTGGCAAATGCCAACTGCACAAATCCATTCACTGCAACAGGCAGCACCTGGCAGGGAGGGGGGAGCAGGGAAGGAGGGAGCAGGGAAGGAGCAGGCAGGAAACAGGGAGGCAGGCAGGGAGGGCCAAGGCCAGGGCAATGCCTGAGCACAGATGGATCGAAGGAGACTTAATTACTCATTTTGCCAGCAGCAAAGCTGCTGAGCTGTAATTACAGCGGGCTTAGCTGGAGGCAGGGAGGACTGGATCTCCTCCTCACCAAGCAGCCCCAAGAACCAGGATGCCCACCAGAACTGGGATGCTCCTGCTGACACCCCCATGCTCTCCCAGCACTCCAACCACCCTGCTCACCCCTCCAGCACCCAGATCCCACCATCCTTCCACCCACACACCGACCAAACCACATCATCCATATCCCCATCCACACCGGGGGGGGGGGGGGGGGGGGGCCCCCCCCCCCCCCCCCCCCAGGACATTCTGGCTTCCCCACTCCCAGACCTGGCCCAAACAACCTGAGCCAGGGTGTGCAGCCAGCCCAGGGGGGTTACCCACCTCCTGGGGGCTGCGGGTCTGCTGGGCAGGGGAGGCAGCCCCCAGGTCCTCGTGCATGCGGTCCAGCAGCCAGAGCAGGAACTCGAGGGCGTCGTGCTGCGCGTTGCCCCGGAACTGTGAGCTGTGCTTGGAGACAATGTTCTGCAAGAGATGGGCAGGGCAGGGGTGAGCCACAGGCCATGCTGCTGGGCACTAATGAACAGATACTTCGTTAGCACCCATCACAAAACCCACCCCTGCCCCATCCCTGCAGTAGTGCCTGCCCTCATTCTGCCTCTACAGGGACATCGTGCCCACCCCGGGGACAGCAGCGAGGTGGGGACAGCAGCACACCAGACAGCAGCTCCATGCCCATCACCGTGGTGTCCCAGCTGCTGGCATGAGGCTGGGAGGGGATAGCCTGCTGTGGCTGGGCACAGGGCACACTCCATACGAGCCAGATCAGCCCACGGGGACCCACCAGCATCACCTGCCCTGAGCACTCCAACAGCACCAACTCGGTGTCACAGCCAGGAGAAGGCAATTCCCAGCACTGGGATGCTGTGATGCTCCCTCTGGGTACCCCGCCCCAAAAGCCCAGGTCCCCATGCCACCAACACCACCCCTGCCCCATCAAAGAGAGCACCTCCCTGCCTGTAACTCCATCACTGCCCCAGTCAGGCCCTAATGCCCTGCGGTCCCTGCCTGCCCTCACTGAGTACTGGCCATGCCACAGCATTTGGGCTAATGAGCATTAATTCCACGGTGAGGTGAGCACTGCAATGCCCTTATGGGGGGTTCCCCCTCACTGGGGGCTGTAGGGGGAAGAACAGGGCTGGGAATGCCATGGGGCTGACATGATATCCAGGCAGGATAAGGTGTCACCCACCAGGGTGACATCAGACCACCAAGCCAGCGCTGAAGCCAGTTCCCTTGCCGAGTCAGCCAAGCTCCCAGAGGTGCTACATGCCCATGATTTGGGTGGCCCCAGGGTATGTGCCAGCAGCAGATGCCAACAGCCCATGAGAGCTGGGTATGCACTTGCCAGGATGGGTCCCTGACCCCGAAAAAGCAGGATGCATACGGTGTGAATCCCTGGGGAAGCCTAGGGGGCACCCCAAATAGCAGAGTTGGGGGGATCCCCAAGGACTTATCTCCAAGTCTGGGCTGGTCATGGCTCCCCAGAGGACAATTTTAGGGGCTCAGCCCCAAACCCAGCACCAGGAGGGAGAAAGCCTGACCATCCGTGTGGATTTTAACTGGGTGACGCAGTTAAACCCCGACCATCCGTGCTGATTATAACCAGCATGTTGGGACCTGCCAGGACAGGGAGCAGACCTCCAACATCGCTGGGAAACACCTCAAGCCAAGACCCCTCTGGCCACCACTCTGCTTGTCCCCAGCCCTGCTCCCAGCAGTACAACCACCCCAGTACAAGCAGAGGGAGCAAGGCCACCACAGATGGGCTTCCAGCAAAATGAGTGGCAGACTCGGCTCTAAATTTTAAAATCTTATTTGGGCTGCTTTAAAAAATGAGGTGGAAATTCGTGGCAGTTGCAGGTAACCACCGGGAAGGAGGGAATGCAAAGCAAAGGCTGGAAGTCTGAGGGGTTTTTTTTTGATCTGTGCCTAAGGAATGTGTGTGTTCAGGAGCAGAGGGCATGGAATTGTTGTGCCCAGCAGCACAGGAGCTGGTTGCTTTACTATAGGGCTGTTAAAGGCAATGAGCTCCTGCAGAAGCACCCTGTGGGGTGGGTGCTGCCAGCCTCCAGGCCAGGATTGCAGGAAGGAAGGATCCCCCTGGAAAGGGGGGGTAGAGAAGTGGGTACCCCAGACCTTGCCCACGCAGGTACAGACTGGCTGCTACCCCAGGGCAGGGCCTGGCTTTCCACTTTGTAAAGTTCATCGGCAGCACCCGGTCCCTCCCTGCTGAAATGTCACTGGGACATGTGTCTCTGAGCGTGGGGAGTTGTGGTGCCAGGCTGGACATGCTGTCCTGTGCCTGACACCCTGTCCCTGTCCCTAGCTGGGGGCAGGCCCACAGCACACTGGCATGTGCCCAGCAGGGATGTGACACACACTCAGTGACAGGGCCTGAGGCCACTGAGTTGGGCTCCCGGGGCACTGCCCTGTCTTACCCCACCAGCACAGCCAGCGGGGGCTCACCCTTATGGCCCAGTGGTGTGGCCATGGCTGGGAGCCCACCCACCCACGGGAGCTCAGAGCTCAGGTGACAGCAGCCCAGCCACAGAGGGGTGATGGCAGCAGGGCTGGGAGGTGTCTGGCAGGACAGGGTCCATGGGGAGCACGAGGCAGGGGAGTGAGTGATGTGAGCAGGGGGTGCTGTGGGTGCTGTAAGTGGGGAGATACTGATGGGTCCTGTGAGCTGGGGGTGCCGGTGGGTGCTGAGAGTGGGGGGATGCTGGCAGGTCCTGTGAGCAGGAGGTGCTGGTGGGTGCTGGGAATGGTGCTGGATGCTGGGTGGTGCTGGTGGGTGCTGAGAGGAGGGATGCTGGTAAGTGCTGTGAACTGGGAGTGCTGCTGGGTGCTGGGAGTGGAGGGATCCTAGGAGTGGGGGGATGCTGTTGGGGGGCTGGGGGTATGTTGGTGGGTGCTGCGAGCTGGGGGTGCTGGCAAGGGTGTCAGAGGGTGCTATGCTAAGAGTGGGGAGATGCTGGCAGGTGCTGGGAGTAGGAGATGTTGGTGGAGCCCGTGAGCTGGGCATGCTGGTGGGCGCTGGGGTCTGGGAAAGGCATCAGTGGGTTCAGAGGGAGTGCTGGTGGGTGCTGGGGTCTGGGAAAGGTGTCAGTAGGTTCGGAGGGGGTGCTGGTGGGCGCTGTGAGCTGGGGATCCCAGTGGAGGCTGGGGATGCCGCTGGGGGCCGGGGTCACTTCGGGACGCGCGGGGCGGGTCCGGTCGGTACCTTGAACTCCGCGGAGAGCTGCGGGGTGTAGTCGCGGGTCCAGAGGGCTCGCACCAGGGCCGCCAGCCGGTGGGTGACCTCGGCGCGGGCCCCGCGGGCGCGGTACCGGCCCAGCGCCAGGCGCTCGGCCAGCGGCGCCGTGTTGCTCAGGCACTGCACCACGGCGTTCATGAAGCAGGTGTTCCCGTGGTTCCGCAGCCCCTGCGCGCCCGGCGGCCGCTCCCCTCCCGGTCCCGCATCGCCCCCCGCGCCCCCCGG